AAAAGGACCAGACAGGAGGTGATGGGAAAGAACTCCGCCTGAGCCCCTGGAGAGTTGTCAAGAGGGGCCGTGGCTCAGTGGAAGAGCCTCTGCTTGGCATGTGGAAGGTCCCAGGTTCAATCCCCGACATTTCCAGTTAAAAAGGACCAGGCAGGAGATGATGGGAAAGACCTCCTCCTGAGCACCTGGAGAGCTGTCAAGAGGGGCCGTGGCTCAGTGGAAAAGCCTCTGTTTGGCATGCAGGAGGTCCAAGGTTCAATCCCCGGCATCTCCAGTTAAAAAGGACCAGGCAGGAGGTGATGCGAAAGACCTCCACCTGAGACCCTGGAGAGCTGTCAACAGGGGCCACGGCTCGGTGGAAGATCCTCTGCTTGGCAGACAGAAGGTCCCAGGTTCAATCCCCAGCAGTTCCAGTTAAAAAGGACCAAGCAGGAGGTGATGGGAAAGACCTCTGTCTGAGACCCTGGAGAGCTGTAAAGAGGGGGCGTGGCTCAGTGGCATAGCATCTGCTTGCCATGCAGAAGGTCCCAGGTTCAATCCCCAGCATTTCCAGTTAAAAAGGGACCAGGCAGGAGGTGATGGGAAAGACCTCCGACTGAGACCCTGGAGAGCTCAAGCCAGTCTGAGTAGACAACACAGACCTTGATGGACCAAGGGTCTGATTCAGTACAAGGCGGATCCATGTGTGGTTGTGCGTTGTGATTGAAGGAATTAAGACACAACCCAGATGATCAGAATCCCATTTCCAGATCCATCAACCCTTCTAAAATTTCGTGCAGGACACACCACTGCTGGACACACCACTTGCCTTTATTTCTTATGCAGGAAATTTGAATTCTGCATATCCAGACTGGGCTGAGGTGGCTCTCCACCTCCAACACCAAAGCAAAACCCATCCAGATAATAACATAATCCAGTAAAGGAAAGCACAGAGAACAAGCCAGAGTACTATAGTGGTCAAAGTGCTCTGTGAGGTAGCAGGCCCACTCCAGTGCCAAAGTGTCTCAGCTCCAATGACAAAGAGCTCCAATGACAAAGTGTCTGGAGTGAGGGAATAAACAGGCAAGTTTAACAGATGGGCGAGTTCAGCAGCAGGGTGAGGAAGCCAGGGCACTCGCCTCTCCACGTCCCTAAAAGGGTAGGCAGACTTTCTTCAAACAAATCCACATAATTTGTCAATTTATTAAAAGAGAGATTTAAAAAATTATGAAGGTAGAACGTCAGCAGGGGATTTGGGGTTATCCATTGTATTGCACTGAGCGTAACATGCATAACTGCCCACTGGACAGAAGTTGCAAGGTGCAAGGAGCTCCTGGTTCTCAGGGAATGAGTTGTGACCCTGGAGGCCAAGGTGGCTGTCCTGGAGAAGCAGAGACAGTCAGTCAGGCATGCAGATAAGACTCTCGGGGACTTGATAGATGAGTCCCAAGCTCGATCCTGGTTTTTGAGGATTTAGTAGACGCAGGTGAAAATCGGGGGAAGCTGCAGGGCAAAATGCCACCGTGCAGCACGTCGTGGGAAATTGACACGTACCATTGTGGCAAAGAGAGGAGCGAGGGCGGAGCAGCCGCTGTGGGAAATCGGTCCCACTCCGAGAATGGCAGCCCCACAGATGTCGGGGAGCATGAGGGTCAGGGGGAAACAGGGCACTGTTGCTGTTGAACCGCAGCTAAAGAAGTCAAAAAAGTCAATATGAAAGACCAAAAGAATATATAATAATAATAATTAAAAAATCAATAAAGCCAAGGTAATTAAAAATCCAGTATATAAAAGCACATAAAATGAATGGAGCGTCCCCTGTACAACTGTGAAATCGAGATGCCCACAAAGAAACTATGGAATTTTCCCCATCCCCAATTTTCCGAAAAAGCCCAGAAATACAAATGTTAGCTGCCCCACACAACTCTTCATGGTGAGAGGCCTGACGTTGCTGCCAAGACAGAGGTGGATACTCCTCATTTCCAATGCAATTGTCTCCTCCTACAGAGGAAACGTTTAATGGAAGTCTCTATTTCATCTCCTTTCATTCCGGTCAGGTACTTCAATAACTCAGCATCAACAGCAGGTCCTTACAGGTTCAGCTTTATTGATCAGAGCAAGGTGAAGTCATCTTAGACTCTTTGAGTCAGGAATGAAGCATACAAAATTGCCATAATAATTATAGCGGGTTCATACAACACCCCCAGACACCTAGGAGCCAATAAGCAATTAATCACTTTTCACTGAGATGGATATTCCACAGGGGAATTATGGTGGGGGTAACCTAATAGGATTCACTGTGGAATCCGTTTATTTTTTCATCTAGCACTTCCTTCAAGAAGTTCAGGAAGCTCTCCATCATTCTCTCTTCCCCATTTTTATGGGGAGAGCCAGTTTGGCGTGGTGGTTAAATGTGGCAGACTCTAATCTGGGTTTGCTTCCCCTCTTCTCCTCCACATGAAGCCAGCTGGGCTTCCTTGAGTCAGCCCCAGTTCTCTCAGAGCTCTCGCAGCCCCACCTACCTCACAAGGTGCCTGTTGTGGGGTGAGGAAGGGACGGTGATTGCAAGATGCTTTGAGGCTCCTTCAGGAGGAGAAAAGAAGGGTATAAAAACAAACACTTCTTATTTCCTATTTTTATCCCCAGAGAACGGGGCGGAGAGAATTTCACTTAAAAAAACCATACAGTGAGCTTCATGACTTTATAGGGATTTCAACCCAAGCTCCCAGATGCTAGTCTAGTGTTCTAACTACATTGGGAAGAGCCATCTGGCAAAAAAAGGAAAGAATTAGCTGTTGTAGATTTTCCGGGCTGTATGACCACAGCCATACAGCCCGGAAAATCTACAACTGCTGATGGACCTGGGGTCACAACATTTAAATGATCCATAAATATTGTTTTACTGTTTTTATTCCCTGTTGGTCTTATGTTGTGAGCCGTCCTGAGCCCTTTTTGGGGGTAGGGTGGGCTATAGTTTTAATAAATAAATAAAAGCAGTATCATGATGAAATTCTCCTTAAAAACCACAGAATATATGGCCAGAGAGCCAGCATGGAGAGTGGTTAGCGCGTCAGACCGGGATCTGGAGACTCGAGTTCAAATTCTTGCTCTGCCATGGAGGCTCACTGGGGGGACTTTGGGCCAATCACATTCCCTCAGCCGAACCTACCTCACAGGGTTGCTGTGAGGATAAAATGGAAGAGAGGGCAAGGGTGGAAGCCACTTTTGGGCTCCCATTGGGGAGAAAGGCGGGGTACAATCTTGAGAAGAGAGAGCCCATCACAGCCAATGACAAATACTCCCCAAATAGTTCAGTCTCCAGTCTCTCTGAAAGGCAAGCTGTGTCGAATCCAAGAAGGTTCTGAGGGAAGACAGACATTTTCACTCTCTGTGACTGCAGGATACTGCCAACCTCCCCTAGAGCACAGGAAGAGGCATCCCA